AAATCCAACAAATAAATTGAAGATTTTCCCGGACATGACTAAATTTGCTGAGTCGTGTGGTTTTCCTGCTGCACGGGTGAAAGACAAAGAGAATGTCCGGGGTGCAATTAAGAAAATGTTGGATACTCCTGGTCCATATTTATTGGATATTATGGTTCCACATGAAGAGCATGTGCTGCCCATGATCCCAAGCTATGGAGCCTTTGAAGATGCGATCAACGAGTAATCCCATACCACCTGAGTTAGTCTTCTGTTTGGCATAGCATAATAATCGTTGTTGTTGTTGTTGTTTGTTTGTTTTTCTTTTTTAGTTTGTATGGTCGGAAAATCGTATTGTTTTATTTTTTGGTTTGTTTGGTCAGAAAATCGTATTGTTGTTTTTCTTTATGGTCAACATTGTCGTGTTTGTGTGATTTCACTGTAATTCACATTTTAACTATTATTAGGTTTGTCAAAATTAATTATGTAGATTTGGGTTTAAACTTTAAACTAATGACGAACGGACTATTATTAGGTTTGTCAAAATTAATTATGTAGATTTGGGTTTAAACAGTAAACTAATGCCTGTTTGTATATGCGGCTTTTTTTTGTCGGAGATTAAGGTTCTCATTGATTTGCAGAAAACTGTATGTAAAAAGATGAAAAGTCAAAGTAATTCATTTTTCCTGTTTGGTTACAAAGAAAATACAAAGAAAGATACTGAGTAAAGTAATTTGGGGAAAAAAGTGAAAAAATTTATAAGCTAAAACAAGGAAAAAGCCCTTCCCTCAAAAAAGGTGAGGAAAATGTGAAGGAAAAAATGATCGGGCGTTTCTTTTCTACTGCTCTTCTTATTTTTTTTGTGTTATGGCTTCCAAACTATATTTATTAAATTCTCCGCCGCTACCTCCCCGTTGGCCGCACCACCACCACCACCACCTTTTTCGCCACCTCCACCAGACCCTTAACATCATCAATTGTTGCCACCAGCAACCTCTCCGACACCGCCTCCACCACCACCAGACCCTCAAGGCCTCAACACCATCAACCACCGCCTCAAGCCCGTTCCTGGGAATTTGGGGTCCCTAGGCGAGGTTTAAAGAACAACTGAAAACAGGGCCCCCTATTTGATGAATCTTTTTTTTAATGGGTGTTCGAAATTGGATGTAATAAAAAAATATAAATATTTTTTTTTCTAAAAATGAAGAAAATAAACATTATGGGGGTTCGGGGGCAGTGCCCCCGAATATTTTTTGAAATGTATGAATATAAAGTAATTAAAAATATGGGCAAAAATTCAAAATTAACAAATACGATTTGCTGGTTCACTTCCTCCCGTGACGTATAATTTTTATAGCAATAGATTTCAAAAATATTTATAAACTTGAATACACTAATAAATATTGATTCTTATTTTAGAATAAAAATAAGTAATTAAGACATTATAAACTAAAATTTAGGGGGCCCGAGGTTAAGAAAATTTCAAAAATATCTATTGATCATTTAGTTTAAATTTATTTTAGAACCGATGTTCCAAAATATTATAATAATAAATTTTTAAAAATAATTACTAATATATATAGTGTATATAAAATAATTTAGGGGCCCCAAATTTTCGAAAAAAATCGGGGGCTCTAGGCGACTGCCTACTTCGCCTCCCCTCAGAACCGGCCGTGCACCGCCTGCAACCTCTCCGTCCCACCCACCACCATCACTATCGTCGACTCTAGGCCGTCAAAATAATTTCTCGCTCCGCCCACAATTATCGCTGCGCCGCCGCCGTCAACTCTTTCTTGTCATCCGCCCAGATGATTTCTCCACTTCCACCTATAAATTGCCCATCGTGTGTGTGTGAAGTGGGAAATTGAGATTCATTTATTTTAATTTTATATTTTCTTATTTTTTTTCTTTAAAATTATTATTATTATTATTATTTATTATTGTGGTCTTAAATTTAATTTATTTTTATTGTTAGGTGGGTGGTGGGGGTGAGGGGGTCGGAGTGGCGGTTAGTTTGGGGCTAGGGAGTAATTTAAGATAATTTTGAAATTTAATTTAGTTTTAATATCATTTTACTTGGTATTTTTCTCTATTATTTTTCTTTTTTTTTTTTTTTTTTGAGTAAATTCGAGTCTGTTACAAGGGGAAGTAGGGGAGGGGGGGACTCGAACCCTAGACCGTTACCCTATTGGTAAAGGCTAGGTACCAACTCTCCTAATGAGGGTTGGTTATTATTTTTCTTTAAGAACCAAACAAAACTAAGGAAAATGGTTTTCCTCAAAATTATTTTCACCATTTTTTTTAAGAACCAAACACAATTGAGATTTCAAAAGTCCTTGATTTCCTTTTCCTTTGCATCTTCATTTTCCTTAATTTTGAAATCTATGAACGAATCAAAGCCTAAAAACATGTTTTTATGTGTTGAAATCGGAAGTTTTTGAATTCCGTCAATTTCGAAAAAAAATAGGCAGATTTTTCTAGAACAATTTGCAAAACTCTGTTTTTTTGATATTTTTTATAGGAGTTGGAATTATATTAGGAGATTCCAACTTTTGATGTGATTTTAATTTTTGAAAATAATCCAAATATTTTTTATTCTTCTAATGGAGTTGCATTAATAATATCAATATTATTTTGGATTTATATTATAGGTTGATAAATAGATGGAATTTCTAAATTACGCTGATTATGAATTGAAATATTTTCGATTTTGAAACAAGTGTTTCATTACTAATTCAAAAGTTTTCATTTCTTTTTTTTTTTTTTCAAAAACTATCCGGAATGAAATTTGATCTTGTCTTCGTGGGGACAAATACGTACTAAAGCTATCCGGAAATTAAGCGTAAGGGTTCTAATTAGGAATGGAAATTCCAATTCTGATCCAAAAAATTCCAATTTTGGAATAGTTTTCTTGATTTAGATCTCCAAAAAATTCCAATTTTGGAATACTTTTCCTGATTTTGGTGTTTGAAATTTCATTTCCGAGTTTATCGAAAACAATTAGATCGGGGTCGGAATTTGATATATAATCTCCAAAATATTCGAATTCCTATCCGAAAGTAGTTCCGAACTTTTTCAAAAAATTATATGTTTAAGAATTATTTAGGGGTGGAACTCGGAAAGAAATTTTCAATTTCCGCCGATTCTGAATTGGATAATACTGATTTTGGAACTTGGGTTTTTCAATCCAATTAGCGGCGGATATATAAGCCTACTTTTTTATTAGTTTAAACCCATATAAATAGGTTTATTAGTTCAAGCCCGTAAATTAGTCTAATTTTATTACATCAAGACCAAAGAGGACAAATATACCTTTATCCACAATTAATACAAAAATACAAATAAATCCTATTTTTAATTTGTTCAAGACCAAAAAATAAAAAATAAAAAAAAGAAAAGAAAACCACCCACCGCATGACTGACGCAACCAAACCGTCGCGACGCCGACCAGCGAGACTTCCACCGCGCCGACGATGACCAACGACCCACCCACCGCACCACTACCACCACACCACCAACAACAAGTAAGTTTTTTTTATTAAACTTTTGTTTGGAAATTCGAAAACATTAATCGAACATCGATTCTTGATAAACATGCGTGGATGAACATTAATCTATGCTTATTTCTTGTTGGGTTGCAATGCTTTGGCCGATTTTGGAAAAACAATGAGATTGAAATTGGTTTTTTTGTGTGTTTTCGTTGGTTTCCCAAATCGATTTACCTAGACCGATTTTGTACACGAAAATCGGTGTCATAATGCGATTTTTGTTAACCAAATCGGCGACACAACGTCGACTTTACAAGTCAAAATCGGCGTTCTAATGTCGATTATTGAGGACAAAATCGGTTTTCGGATACATATGTTTATCGGATTTTTTTTCTTTTTTTTTTTCAAATAATATATTATATATTTCAGTAATTGATATTTTTTAAATGTTTTGCAGTGGAACCTCAACCTCCTCGTGTACCGCCGACCGTCCCAAACCGTAATTGAAAGGAAAATGCTCAAAAGAGCAAGGTGAAAAAGCCAAAAAAAAAGGCGTGCCCCTTTTAATCCTCCCGGTCGACGCACTGGGATTGATGAAGGTCCTTCTCCAGTACCGATATCTCACTGTTTTTCGCTTTTTGGATTTTTTTTTTCCAATTCGTAATACCAACTATCCTTTGGTGTTTGGATATCATAATACAACTTTAGAGGTATTAAGCATAAATATATATGTTACGAGCAATTGTAAGTAATGCATAATAATTATAAAGGCTACCAACAATCTTAAACGATTGTACATCAATTACATTGTTTCACGAAAAATCTTTTACCGTCTCGTCTTCACTTACATATGTTAAATCTATGAAGGTTTCTTGCAAGGCTACTTCTTGACCAACTAACTTCCTAAACATTGTAAGTCTTGATTCCATATCGGAAGTCTTCCAACCATCCGCTTTTTCATTATGGTACCGTCGCCAATAATCCGCCATAGGAGGTATAGGACAATTCATGTTAACTCCCACTCAACATTATCGGTATCCTTTCCTCGTTTTTTTCCTTTAATCTAAATGTGCAATTACATTTTTTAGAACCCGTCCTCCTCTTTCCCTCTCCTTGGTCATCCTCACCGGCTTTCTTCTTCCACGATACTCACCCGCACGCTTACATGCGAGTACAACATACGGTCTTCTAAGCCTTTCAATCCCGGATTTGAAACGAAAATGTTAATCACCATTCCGTGGCGTCTACCAACTCCTTTAACCCAATCGAGTAGAGCTTCCCGTGTCTCAAATATTTGTTAGGTAGATAATTCATCTCAATAATCCTACATCAATTCCGAAAAGATTTGAAATATTTATGATTTGAAAATTTTCAGTTTTGAAAGAATGTTTTTCATTATTATTTCCAAAACTTTGTTTACCAAAAAATTTCAACCACATAGTTAGAACGAAGTCGGAATTAATTTTTGAAAAATATTAGTTTCGATCCGATGCAACCGAATTCCAACCCTAAATTTATTGAAAAGAACTCAAAAGAGGCAAACTAATAGAATAACTACCAACAAAAAACATTCAATCTTTACAAAAAACAAAACAAAATCAAAATCCTTCACTCAAACAAAAATTTCACCAACAAAGTGTACACTTCTCTCAGCCCTTAGATCCAAAATATGCTCTCTTCTCAACCATTTGATCTGGCAATCAAAAACAATAATAAATAAAATTTGAAATATACTTATACAATTGTCAAAACTCATGCAAAAAATTCTGAAAAATAAATGAACACACAAAGTTCACTTCCAGCCAGCGGCGGAGCCAGAATTTCATATTCACAAGAGCACATAATATTATATCATCTAGAACGGCCCGGAACAACAATACTACACTACTTGAAAAATAATAAATATTTATATATTTGGGGGCCATGGCCCCCCATAGCCCCCCTACTTGGGTTCTAACCTTGAAGGAGAGAAACTCCCACTATATGCAAAGAGACTCTCTTTAATGTAAGGATGTTCGTGATCTTTTCCTTTCCCTTCGTAACTGTTCGAAGTCGATGCTGACTCAGCGTGTGGATTGAGACCGGCCGATTCCATGATGTTTTCGATCTCCTTCGCCACCTCATTCATCGTGGGCCTGCTATCGCCCGATTCTTGGACACACCTCAGCGCCAAATCAGCAAACTTTTCGACGCTGCCTGGTGCTGAGTTGGCGGCTACTATTGGGTCGAGGATGTCGTGGAGGTTGTAGAGAACCTTGGTTCTGTCCATTGCTTCTTTGACTTCTCGAACGATGTACTTACCGTTAACTATTGGACTTCTTGCGGTTAGAATTTCAAATAGAAGAACTCCGAAGCTGTATACGTCGCTCTTTTCTGTCAATTGGTTTGTCATGTAGTACTCGGGATCCAAATATCCCTGATTTTGATTTAAAAAAAAATGCATCATAAATTTTTTGATACTCATACGGAGAAAATTGAATAATATGGATCGAATTCAGACGGATCGGATTCGAATTTGAACTTTCAAAAAAATTGCTTTTTGTTTTCGGAAGTGAAAAACTAATTTCAATTATGTTTTGAAAAGTTTCGGAAAAATCTTGAATCGGAATGAAAAAACTTGTTCTAAAATTGAAATGTTTGGGTTCGGAATCGGTAGATTTCAGAGTTTTCATTTTTTAGTCACCTATAATTTACAATACATAATAATATTAGCATTACAAGTATAATTTTCGGAAAAAATCGAGTCGGAAATCAGAATCTAATACTATACGGATTCAGTTTAAATAAAATCGATAACATCGAAAATCAGGACTTTCGGAATTTGGAAAGAAAAATATTGTTTCAAAATCAAAAATTTCCAATCGGAATAGGCGGAAATCGGAAATGAATGAGAGAAAAAAGTGTTTTTTTAGATGAATTAGAGAAAAATGTGCTAACCATTGTGCCTTTAACTTGAGTGGTAACGTAGCCCTTTTCGGGTTCTCCCATTGGCTTAGAAAGACCGAAATCTGCTACTTTAGCATTCAACCGTTCGTCCAGCAAAATATTGTTCGATTTAATATCTCTGTGAATTATCGGAGGATTGGCTAAGTCATGCAGATATTGCACCCCTCTCGCTGCACCGAGCGCTATTCGAAGCCGTCTCATCCAATCTAACCTTATTCCACTCCTCCCTTCAACAATAAACACATTTTTTTTTGAGAGAGAGAGAGAGAGAGAGAGAGAGAGAGAGAGACACACACGTACCGGTAAGACCATCTTTCAACGTGCCATTAGTGATGTACTCGTAGACCAACATTTGTTCGCCTTGATCGAAGCAGAATCCAACTAAACTAACAACGTTTTTGTGATGAACCCTAGAGAGAAGCTCGATCTCCGTTTTGAACTCGTAACCGCCCTGCGTCGATCCTTGCACTGCTCTTTTAATGGCCACCATTTGCCCGTTCGGAAGATTCCCTCTGTATACCTTACAATTCACACGAACAAAAAAAATTAAAAAAAAAATCACGCAGCCCGAAAATTAGTTCAAAAAATTCATCTTCAGAAAATAAACCTTTCCGTATCCACCCCTTCCAACTTCATTCGATTCCGAGAAGTTATTAGTGCATTTCTTGATTTCTTCGAACGAAAAACTTCTCGCGCCTTTTAACTGCGGAACTCCACCACTATCTGTATTAGGGTCCCATAATGCTGCAAATATCAATTTAATTAGCCTAACATTTATATATATATACATGTATATATATATATAGACACACACACACGGTACCGAAAGGATCGTTCTTTTTGGAAGCCGTTTCAGCTCTTTTCTTCTGTCGAAAAGCATACACTCCGGCAAATAGTAGCAACGAAAACAGCACAAATCCACCGATTGCCGCTCCGATAATCACACCGGTACTCAAAGGCTTGCCGGACCCTTTATCGAGTCCTGGATAATTAAACGAACATGCAAATTAAAATTGGGTAAATTACAACCACGCCCCTGAGGTATGGTCAAATTACGAAAACCCCTTCCTGTTTGGGTAATTGCAACCACCCCTCAACTATAAATCTTCTTACGTGTCCACCCTTGCGGTTTCAAATTTAATGGAATCTTCGAGATTATATGGAATATTATCAATTTTGTACCCATTTTATCCAATTCGAACTCCACATTTTGAAGCAAGATGATCATAATATGAGTTTTTTGGCTTGTATGATGATTGTGGTGCATCAGAAACTGTATTTTCACAAAAACGCGTACAAATTAGAGCCCATTCCACGAAATCTAGATAATTGTGTTAAAATTGACACCATAAGGGTGGAGGTGTAAGAAAAATCATAGTTGAGGGGTAGATATAATTATCTAAACAAGAGAGGTTTTTTCGTAAATTGACCATACCTCAGGGAGGGTAGTTGTAATTTACCCAATTAAAATTCACTTCAAATTCACGGAAATTGCGCATGCATGATCATATATAATAGATCGAAAAAAACGTTACCTGCAAAGTACGGATACTCGTTGGCTTTGAAATAAAAGGGTCCGAATGTATGCGGCGGTTTGAAACTTTGGTTGCTTAGAATAAACCCGATACTCGAAATCCCGGTTCGATTAAAATAATCTATCCCAGCCGGGAAAACTTGCAGATTCAGTACTAAGTACTCGTTGCTGTTCTTCGTTGGATTGCTTAGAGAAGTTGACTCCACGGGTTGACCGTGGGACTTAAATGTTTCCATTAGTTTCGAATGAAGAGACTCGAAAACAGTTTTGTTTCCGAACGCGGAAAACGAAGGCGCTCGGAAAAAAAGATTCCCCGAGTATGGATACGCACATTTGCATGTAGGGCTAGATACTTTTTCCGACGTGCATGGAATAGGTGTGCAGTTTTCGGGTGGTGTTGAGTAAGTGGAATTCGATTGGTCGGGAAACGAGCAGTAACTTTGCGTCACTCCTTCATCGCATATCGGGTTTCCTATAAGTCTACAAATGAATTAAAAAAAAACACGAGTGAAAATCGCGTTGAAAACGAGAACATTGCGAAAAACGAACAAAAAAGAAAAATAAATTACATGATTTGAACGGTGGATCCTGCTCGTTGAGTGAATGCGTCGATGAAGTTGTTTTGTAAATCGATCCGTTGGAGTTGGGAACTAAATGTGGGGCCGATGTTTAATGTGCCGTTTATTCGATTGTTCTTCAATGAACTAATTGAAAAAAAACAAATTAAAAAAGAAAAGAAAAGAAAAGAAAAATATGATTTTTATTTTTTACATGAATTTAATATGGAGAAAAGGTAGAAAGTGTATTAAATTAGGATATATAAAGAATATTACTTACACAGTTTGTAACTGAGATAGGCTGAATAAAGAAACTGGAAGTTTGCCTTGAATGTGTGCATTCTCCATTATCCTACAAATTTAGTGTTATTGCATCATAAGAACCTTAAAGACAAATTACGAAAAAATCCCTCATGTTTGGGTAATTACAACCATCCCCTCGACTATGAATCTAATTGCACATTCGTCTTTTCGGTGTCAAATTTAGTGAAATCTTCTAGATTATGTGGAATATTCTCCAGTTTGTACCCGTTTTACCTCATTCGATCTCCACATTTCGAAACGAGATGATCATAAGATGTGTCTCTTGGCTTGTAAATATCAGATTGTGGTGCATCAGAAACTACATTTTTGCACAAAACGAGTACAAGCTAGAGAATATTCCACGGATTCTAGAAAATTATGTTGAATTTGACACGTAAGAAGATTCATAGTTGAGGGGCTGGTTGTAATTACCAAACAAGACGGATTTTTTCGTATTTTAACCTTACCTCAGGGGGTTGGCCGTAATCTACCCTATATATATTGTTGTTTTTAAGGCGAAAAAAAAAAACGTACAACGAAGTCAAGGACTGCAAAGACGAAAACCACGGGGGAACGTCGGTTGCATCAAACGAATTATTGCTCACATCCCTGCAACATTTAAATCGAAAATTATCAACCATTTTTTTTTTCATATATACAATGCTGCATTTTGCATGTACTTAGTAAATTCTAAATAAAATTGTGGCTTTGTCCTTACACATAATTTAGCAAATTCATGCCAGTGAGGTTAGGCAAAGATCCAGTCAACTGATTGTTTGACAAGAACCTATAAAATCGGATCGAAAAACGAACTACTATTACGAAATGGTATATAATAAACGAGATCAAAATTAGAAATAAATTTCGTC